CCTGTGTGTCAGGTGTTTCGAACCAGTGATAAAGAACCAGACTGCTTATCAAGCTCAGTGCTGTCTGTTCCCCCTGCTGTCATACACTCATAAAACCTTGGACACCCGTAAAGCATACTTAAAACACATATACAACAACTTGGCCTGTATTTTCAGTTTTCCTTGTCGGGATATGTTGTTAAGAGCGAGACTGTCTTGACTGAGTTATTGTCTATGTTTGTGTGAGTGACAAAATAGCAGTCGTGGACGGTGCTAGTATGCACACACTGCATGCACTGTTATCTGTTTGTGGGTGGTGTATGTGAATATGCGGGTTTAATTATTCACTGCAGATGTTCATTGCAGACAGGCGTAGATTTGGGAGGTGACTGTGTAAAAATATATGTACAGGGTCTGCGAGTAAAAACCAGTGTTGGCGAGTATATGAAACGGTGTCAATCACCAGTTGGCCGGTAACATTTTTATGATTTCTAACAATGCAATATTGTGAGAACATGAACGTGAACGACGCTCTGGACAGTTGACGGGCCAGTGCTGAATCGCCACAAACGTTTAAGCCTTGCCAATTTAAATATTCAAACGTAAGAAGATGCGAAAGGGAACTCAATTCGTTACTGGCGGTGCACGATACTGAATTGAGCTTTCTTTCACGCCTTCTTGCACTTGAACAGACATATTCAAACAAAATTGTCAAAATGCCCATCTTGGCAAGTATCCTAGAAAACATAGTCAGTTGTCATTAGTGAACGTAAACAGTTGAGAAAGAAAATGCATTAGCTCTCAAAGCGACAGCAGCCTAATATTCCTGTTGCTGTCTGTGTTTTTAATGTTAATTAAACAACAAAACACAAAGAATTTCTTTTGCAACTTTTGAAACTTCAATAAGGATTAATCTGTTTTATGGCTGGTAAAAAAAATCGATGGCCGGTAAATTTTCCATTGGCAGGTGTGGCAAAAAGTTTTAGTCCCTTTATATACATATATATATATATTATTAATATTTTTGTGTTGTTTAAAATATCCAAACATCCTTTTATTTATTTTAATTAATTTACCTGAGAATAGAATAGATTAATAGAACAGATTACACAGGATAGACCTTTTTCCTCAGATAATATATTTGGAATAACCCATGTTTTGCCTCGTTTCACTGGCAAACTGTTTTTATCACTTGTTTGACTAAACCTTAGTAAATTTAGCAAAGTTTATGCTTTAAATCAAGTAAACAGTGTAATTTAGTTTTTGTTTTGTTTTTTAGCTAAATTTAGGCCTGTATTGTTTAAAGGATGTATAATTTGTACTGGAAGATGAGACAAAATGCTGATTAAGAACTCGATGACTTTTTTGTGCTCTTTTTTACACATTAGGTGAAAAGAATTGTTATGGATTTTTTCCTCAAACCTAACTATTTTAGATTTGTTTCCCTAAAACTAACTATACTAGTATAACTTGTACGCTAGCGCGTCTATATATATTGACGGTAGCTACGTTAACCCTTCAGCGTGTCTCCAGACGACTACAGCTTCCGCTCCCTAACTATACTCCGACGTGTCTCCAGATGACTACTGCCGAGTTTAAATCCTATACTCCAGTGTGTCTCCAGACGACTACTGCTTCCGCTCCCTAACTATACTCCGACGTGTCTCCAGACGACTACTGCCGAGTTTAAATCCTATACTCCAGTGTGTCTCCAGACTACTGCTTCCGCTCCCTAACTATACTCCGACGTATCTCCAGACGACTACTGCTTCCGCTCCCTAACTATACTCCGACGTGTCTCCAGACGACTACTTCTTCCGCTCCCTAACTATACTCCGACGTATCTCCAGACGACTACTGCCGAGTTTAAATCCTATACTCCAGCGTGTCTCCAGATGACTACTGCCGAGTTAAAAATCCTATACTCCAGCGTGTCTCCAGACGACTACAGCTTTCGCTCCCTAACTATACTCCGATGTGTCTCCAGACGACTACTGCCGAGTTTAAATCCTATACTCCAGTGTGTCTCCAGACGACTACTGCTTCCGCTCCCTAACTATACTCCGATGTATCTCCAGACGACTACTGCCGAGTTTAAATCCTATACTCCAGCGTGTCTCCAGACTACTGCTTCCGCTCCCTAACTATACTCCGACGTGTCTCCAGACGACTACTGCTTCCGCTCCCTAACTATACTCCGACGTGTCTCCAGACGACTACTTCTTCCGCTCCCTAACTATACTCCGACGTATCTCCAGACGACTACTGCCGAGTTAAAAATCCTATACTCCAGCGTGTCTCCAGACGACTACAGCTTTCGCTCCCTAACTATACTCCGGCGTATCTCCAGACGACTACTGCCGAGTTTAAATCCTATACTCCAGTGTGTCTCCAGATGACTACTGCTTCCGCTCCCTAACTATACTCCGGCGTATCTCCAGACGACTACTGCCGAGTTTAAATCCTATACTCCAGTGTGTCTCCAGACGACTACTTCTTCCGCTCCCTAACTATACTCCGACGTATCTCCAGAGGACTACTGCCGAGTTTAAATCCTATACTCCAGTGTGTCTCCAGACGACTACTGCTTCCGCTCCCTAACTATACTCCGACGTGTCTCCAGACGACTACTTCTTCCGCTCCCTAACTATACTCCGACGTATCTCCAGATGACTACTGCCGAGTTTAAATCATATACTCCAGCGTGTCTCCAGACGACTACTGCCGAGTTAAAAATCCTATACTCCAGCGTGTCTCCAGACGACTACAGCTTCCGCTCCCTAACTATACTCCGACGTGTGTCCAGACGACTACTGCCGAGTTTAAATCCTATACTCCAGCGTGTCTCCAGACGACTACTGCTTCCGCTCCCTAACTATACTCCGACGTATCTCCAGACGACTACTGCCGAGTTTAAATCCTATACTCCAGTGTGTCTCCAGACGACTACTGCTTCCGCTCCCTAACTATACTCCGACGTATCTCCAGACGACTACTGCCGAGTTTAAATCATATACTCCAGCGTGTCTCCAGACGACTACTGCCGAGTTAAAAATCCTATACTCCAGCGTGTCTCCAGACGACTACAGCTTCCGCTCCCTAACTATACTCCGACGTGTGTCCAGATGACTACTGCCGAGTTTAAATCCTATACTCAAGTGTGTCTCCAGACGACTACTGCTTCCGCTCCCTAACTATACTCCGACGTATCTCCAGACGACTACTGCCGAGTTTAAATCCTATACTCCAGCGTGTCTCCAGACGACTACTGCTTCCGCTCCCTAACTATACTCCGACGTATCTCCAGACGACTACTGCCGAGTTTAAATCCTATACTCCAGTGTGTCTCCAGACGACTACTGCTTCCGCTCCCCAACTATACTCCGACGTATCTCCAGACGACTACTGCCGAGTTTAAATCCTATACTCCAGCGTGTCTCCAGACGACTACTGCTTCCGCTCCCTAACTATACTCCGACGTGTCTCCAGACGACTACTGCCGAGTTTAAATCCTATACTCCAGCGTGTCTCCAGACGACTACTGCTTCCGCTCCCTAACTATACTCCGACGTATCTCCAGACGACTGCCGAGTTTAATTCATATACTCCAGCGTGTCTCCAGACGACTACTGCCGAGTTTAAATCCTATACTCCAGCGTGTCTCCAGACGACTACTGCTGAGCCGATATTTCTAACTTACTTGTTCTCTTGCTGCGCAGCTTAAATGACAGACAGACTTGAGTAATTTTCTTTTAAATTCTCTTTATTACAGCCGGGAGTTCTCGAGCAGTTCTCAGAGAATCTCCCAAAAAGAAGCAATAAGCATGGCCAGTGGATCTCAGAAAAATCCCATTGAGAATCCCACCAGTAAACACAAATACAACAGTTTTTATAGAAAAGGAGAATGGGCGAAAATGACATGATGCATTATATAATTTCCCTACAATTTTATTGGTTCTTCATTACTTCATAATCACAAGGTTTCAAACCTAGACTGTCAAGTTTAATTTCCCATATTTGTTATTTATACACACACACACTCAAAGTCACAAGTTTAATAAGGTTAGATGTTAGAAACATGGTTAGTTTAAAATTTCCACGACAGAATCCAGTTTAATTTGCCTCGTTGTCGTTGCCTCAATTATCTTCCTGCTACTGTAGAACAGCCTGCAATGCTGTGTATAACAGTATAAATATGAATATAAACACCAGTCGGATTTTATTTCTGGTAAAGGTGGGGCGAGGAAATGTGCATGCGTGTGTGAATGTGACGACTGAGGTGATGTCAATATTTGTTGGTTCTTTCCCACACGGTTTTACTGCAGAGTCCCTGTGCAGTGGAGGTTTCCATTGGCACTGCCAAACAGCCCTGACTCAACTAAGGACACTGTGTGTGTTTGTTTACATGTGATTTCCACAACCCAGTGTAGTAATACTGGGAAAACATACTGTTATGTCACAGCGTTTGTATGTTTGGCGCTTTTAATGTAGTAAAAACATGAATTAGTATATTTTGCATAAATTTTGTTGCAAGTGATGGTATCTTGTTTTATGAAGTCTTTAATGGCTCATCTTTTGCATACTTAAATCTGCACTTTATCTCTGAGTTGCCAGCAACATATTTACGTTTGCTATGCAAGGCTCTTGAAATGCTAATATGAAACTTAGACAATACATCTTTTACCTCTCACAAGCTGGTGTTGGCAAGCGGTTGTCAAGTGCCTCACTCCCTTGCAAGCCCATAACCGCTCCTGAGGAATTTATCAGCTCTGGGAATACAGCGCTAGCTGCTAGCTAGCACTGTCAAATAGCACTTTTGACATCTTCATGTGAATTTTAATAGTCTTATCAAGCTCTGCCACAACAAGTCTTTGAGTCTAGGAGAAGGAAATACTAGTTCACTGTTTCACCTTAGCCTGAGGGAAGCATCTCTCTTTCACTGCTCCTGTTGAGCAGCTGTTTTTGGAGATTGTCTTGTTTATATTAAAATGAAGTAAACTCGCCTTTGTCGTTTCTTGAAGGGCTGCAACGGACCATAATGTGGACAACACCACAGCCATCCTGAGAGAATGGCTGAAGAACAGGCAGAGCAGATATCATTACGTGGAGTGGAGACCCATGGATGAGCCACGGTTGGTTAAAAACATCTCGTTTCAGAACAGATGGTTTCAAAGTCAATTAGCACTAATGGCTATTTATGTCGGGAATTTGCAACAGTCTACTAATCTCTTTCCCATCTAAATCTAATGATTTCCAGAACAGGGATTAAATAATTCTGTCAACCTGTATGACCTTCTTCCATGGAACATATTTATTTATACTTATATTATGTATATTTATACTATATTATATTATGTTATGTTATACTAATTTTCATGTACTTGAAGAATGAGCACATATGTTTTTAGGCTTCAAAAATTATACAAAAGCAACATAAGTATCATGACAGTGTTCCATATGACTCACACTATATTCTAAGTCTTCAGAAATCAAATGATAGCTTTTTGTAAGGAAAATTTTTAAATTGAAATTTTGTTCACTGACAATCTTGATACTGTGTTTATGAGAGTTCATAAGAAAAGTAACAACGTCTAATATGTAAACGAGTTGCTCCTTTGAGTCAAATCTTTTTTAAACCAATTAAACAGTTTTATTAAATGTTATTTTATGAAAAAGTGTATGCATCTTCTTTTCTGATGTAAGGTCATACACGGATGAGTGGGGGCCGAAACACTGGGCTCCGTCTCGTTTCAATCATCTAATGAAGCTCAGGCAGGCGGCACTGAAGACTGCACGTGAACGATGGGCTGATTATATCCTGGTAGGATGCTGCCATTCTTGTAATAGTTGACTTATTTATGTTGCATCTGTTAGACCCGTTAAATAAAACCACAAGTACTAATACTCCAACTATATTCATCACATGCCACTCATGTTCCACAAATGATACAAATAAACTACATCTCTCTCTCTTTCTCTCAGTTTGTTGACAGTGATAACCTCCTGACCAACCCACGGGTGCTGGATCTCATGATGGCAGAGAATTTCACACTGGTGGCGCCTATGCTGGATTCCCGGTCCCTCTACTCAAACTTCTGGTGTGGCATCACACCTCAGGTACAGCTCTGTCAGAAAACAGACTAAAAGAGTAGTATATTTCACCCAAAAATCATTTACTCACCCTAGTGTGACAATCCTGTATGAATTTATTTCTTCTGAGGAACATAAGAGAAGATGTTTTGAGAAATTGAGATTTTATTTTTGTCCATACTATTATTATAACTGGTCACCAAAACACTTTTCTTCCTCAAAATGCCATCTTTTGTGATTTTACAGGAGAAAGAAAGTCATACAGGTTTGGAATGACATGAGGGTGAATAAATGATGACAGAATTTTCATTTTTGGGTGAACTATCCCTATAAGGCAAGATTTCTTCAATAGTACACGGAATGCGTTCAAACTAATTTGTACATTCACAATGAAATCTAATTATGACCAGTACTTCAATAGCCTGGTTTCTCTGCCATCATCTCAGGGTTATTACAAGCGCACCCCAGACTACCAGCCTATCCGTGAGTGGAAGCGTTTGGGCTGTTTCTCAGTTCCCATGGTGCACTCCACCTTCCTGATGGATCTGAGACGTAGCGCCACGCTGGACATGGCCTTCTACCCACCTCACCCAGACTACAGCTGGGCGTTTGATGACATCATGGTCTTTGCATTCTCCGCGCGACAAACTGGTGAGAGATCTCCACCACTGGGTTGCTTTAACAGCCGTCCATTAGAAATAATCTCTATTTATCTGACTTAGAATGTTTTATAACTTACTATCAACTATAACTAACACTGAGAAAAAAATCTAGCATTTATTAATCTGATAAATTATATATATATATTTAAGTTAAATATTAAAACATACAATGAAACGCTATGATTATATTACTGCATTATGACCAAACATGAAAAATTGTATATTTGACATTATATGTATTCGTTTATCACACATATGATTATCACATATCACAAAATAATATATATTAAGATTATATATAGATTTAGCCAGGTTTAGGCCTCAATTACGTTCAATTAGGGCATTTAAAGGCACACCGCGGACTTTGTGACCTAAAGAGTTGACGCATACGAGTTATTTTAAATGATTCCTCAGGCCAATATACAGCGCTTGACACCATCAATGCTCCGAGAGCGGCTGCCCTCTTGAAATACCGCCTATGTAAGTTTGGAGAAGGCGCACCCACCGTCTTTGGCCAGGTCATGTGACCTGGAGAATGCCTGGAGAACGTATCGCTTTACGACCGTCACGTGACCACAGGCTCTGATATACTCATGGAGCTAAGGCTTTTGCTACTATTTTTCCGCCTGCTCGACTCCTGGCCATGGCTGAGGCAAGGAAAAAGTTTAAAACTGCTTCTGAGGAGGCAAAAAAAGAGAAAACGCGAGAGGGACACAAGGAGCGCCCCTAGTGGCCAAAAGTTACACGGTGTGCCTTTAAGTAGCTTTTATAATGTGCCTTAGAAAAAAACATCACTGGTGTGCATCTTAAGACAAAACAATAGAACTGACATATTTCAAGATATGTCAGTGCAAGTTGCTTTCAGTTAAACCAGCTCAAACATGCATTTTAGTTTGGGACTATGCTTGAGTCTTGTCCGTGAAACTGGGGGAAAATGTTAAAAATGTGTTAGTGTATATACTGTAGAAACTAACATTGAGCAAGATTAATAAATGCTTCAGAAGTATTTTTCATTGTTAGTTTGTGATAACCTAATGCATTTAATATTGTTAAAACATTGACCATTATTGCAAGTGTTACCATTTTATTATTAAAGTGCATGAGTTGTTTTTGTAATGAGTGTTTTTAAGCACAGAATGTTTTCAGAGCAAACCGATAAAGGCAGTTAAAGTGGCGTTCCTCTGTTTTTGGGACCCAGAACAGACACGGATCAGAACACAACACATAATTCACAGCACCTCCAACTGTCCGGCTCCAGTTTATGTTGCTGAGGAGGGTTTGTGTTAGTGTAGCGTCAATGCCGGATAATCCTGTGGTTAATAAAACCAGCTCCAGCTGGGTGTTTTTATGGCCTCTTTGGGTGTTTGTGGATATTCCATTGAGGACATAATGTGTGTGAGAGAGAGAGAGAGCATGCAGTAGAGTTACAGTAAATCCAGAGAACACACAGCTAACACAAAGTCGATAAATCAGGATTCCAAACACACCCATGAATACAAACTGAAACAGCACACAAACACATATTAATGATGTAACACTCATGTTTCTAGTTGTATTGGGTGGGCTATACAGTGTTTGCGTGCAGATCATTTCCATGAAGTGTATGTATTATGCTGTTGTTTTTCTCTGTAGGTGTACAGATGTACGTGTGTAACAGAGAACATTACGGTTTTCTGCCTGTACCTCTGAAGGCCCAGCAAAGTGTTGAAGATGAGAAGGAGAGTTTCATACACACCATCACTGAGGCCATGAGTAAGTATTACACAATACTAATTATTTATTAAAGAATGGATGCTCATTCATTCATTACAATTCAAAAGTTTTGGGTAAGATTTTTTTCATGTTTTTGAAAGTAGTCTCTATGCTCACCAAGCTACATTTATTTAATCAAAAATACAGCAAAACAGTAATATTGTGATTTACTATTACAATTTAAAATAACTTTTTTCTATTTTTTATGTATTTTATTATATTTTAATGTGTTTATTCCTGTGATGTCAAAGCTAAATTTTCAGCATCATTACTCCAGTCTTCAGTATCACATGATCCTTCAGAAATCATTATAATATCCTGATCAGATTCGCAAGGAACAATTCTTATTATCAGTGGTCAAAACGGTTAAAAGTCAAAATAGAAATCTTTGGTAACATTATAGATGTATTTACTGGCATTTTAAAATCTAATTAATGCATCTTTGCTGAATAAAAATCTTAATTTCCAAAAAGTATATATTGACCACATACATTTGAACAGTAGTATATATATATATATATATATATATATATATATATATATATATATATATATATATATACATGCACTCTCACATGCATTTGTTTTTTTGTCATGGAGGGGATTTTCCTTTGACTACTTTTGTTTTTATGCTGAGCTTATGTTTTCTTTTCTTTGCCTTAACCCTAAACCTAACACTCACTGAAACCTTTGTGAATTATTATGTTTTCATGACGACATTGAGTATGTTTATAAAGGTATTTTCTTCTTGGGGACCGTTGCCTGGTCCCCACACCGTTGGCACACACAAACACACACACACACACACACACACACATAATGAAGCACACCCATGGCCACTGCCCCTAATAAAACACCCTTTTTCCAGCACTTCAACTCTTTTACACTTTATATTTTCAACCTCCATTAATTGGAGGATAAATTGACATTTTGTTATGTTCCAATGTATAACTGTCAGATGTGCATTTAATCAATGTCAAATGCCTTTTCTTACAGTCGATCATAACATAAAACCCTCCGAGTTCCTCTTCACTCCACCCAAACCCCAGGACAAGATGGGCTTTGATGAGGTGAGAGAATCTCTGGAATGCCTTGCTTGACTGGACACTCATGATAGTTATCCTGCAGAGAAACTTCAGCTGATTTCTGAAGTTTCTTTGAAGTGACATTTTCTTATTTTGTCCTGCTTCATTCCTCAGACCCTCTCGTTCTCTCTTTTCCCCTCAGATCTTTCTGATTAATCTGAAGCGGAGGTTGGACCGGAGGGAACGGATGTTGAACACAATGGCGGTGCTGGGTATTGAGGCTACGCTGGTTGATGCTGTAGATGGGAAGTAGGTCATCAAGGGGACGTTCTGTGCCATCACATTTATGATGTTTGGGTATTTCGAAATGTGGCAGAACAATTCATGTGGAAGTGCTTCCGATTTTGTTGATCTTACCTTCTGTACTCTCTTAGGTCACTGAATACATCTCAGCTTCAGGCTCTAGGTATAGAGATGATCCCGGAATATAAAGATCCGTACTCCGGTAGGGTTCTGACACGCGGAGAGATTGGCTGCTTCCTCAGCCACCACTTCACCTGGATACAGGTAAAGACACACTCACATATAAACAAATATGTGGCACTTTAAAAAAACAGGGTACAGCATATGGTCCAAAGTAAATTTTTTTGTCTTGTTCAATAAACATGTAGTGGAAGGTGTCCTTAAAGTCCCCCTGTAGTCAATATACGCGGTTCTATGAATATGCAAATCAGCCCCGCCTCCACTCACTCACACCAGCTCAGAGATCCACTCGTTGACAATCACACGGTGACGTGATTGGTTACAAGGTAGTTTGTGACGTCAGAAACAGCAGCGATTTCAAACTGCGTTTTTGAGACTGTCTTTTGGTTCACTGCAGTTTTAAGGAGAAAATACTCAGCAATTGTGTTGACTGTTGACTTATGAATTTGCACATGGTTTGTCTTAAAGCATATTAAAAACACCACATAGACATATAAACAACATTAAAAGCTTGATTTTCACCACAGGGGGACTTTAAGCAAATGCTGATTGTCAACATCAGGATGTCAAACTAAATATCAATAGATTAGAGGGACTTTATTTTCTTGTAATTTTATATATAGTTTGCGATTTTTTTTTTGTGCACAATTTGGGATGCGTCTGTTTTTTTTTTTTTTTGTGTGTAACGTCAAATAAATATCAAAATGAATTACATGAAAATGATTGGGAAAAAAATTAAATGGGAAATTTATACTTCCCATAATATTAAAGAATAATATTGGTTTAATACATTTTTTATTCTTATAACTTATGTAAAGAGTTGAATTGTTGAGCTTGATATTCTTTCAAGACTAAGATTTGTATAAAAATTTATATATTTTTTATGTTAGATAATTTTTTTCTTTATTAGGTTTATTTAACACATCTAATAATTATCACAACAAAACATAGAATTTGTGCCTCTACTGCTTTAAAACAAAGACCTTGTTTGCTGAATGTGCTCTATATCTGTACACAAACACAGGGACACTGGAGTTCCTGTGTCTTTGTTTAGCCTTTAATGGCATCTTTTAAGCTGTTAGTTTTTAACATTATCCAAATTTATTAATATAGTATAACTGTACAGTTAATCTCACCTGGACAAGCAACACTCCAGTAAATGTTACCATTTGCTGAAACAATTATTTCAAAAGACAGCGTGTTTTCTGTTTAGTCCCAGTAGTTTACAGGTGCACAATGTGTGTAATAGGTGGTGGAGAGGGGTCTGCGACATGTGCTGGTGTTGGAGGATGACGTGAGGTTTGAGCCTCGGTTTAAGAGGAGGTTACAGACCATCATGGAGGATGTTGAAAAAGCTCAGCTGAACTGGGACCTCATGTAAGAATAACACCAGCTGATAACAAGCACATGATAACACCTTTTCACCACTCACAAAAACATCTTTCTACATCTCTACATCTCTCCCTTTCTTCGTCTTTCTCCATAGATATGTGGGCCGTAAGCGGATGCAAGTAGCTCAGCCGGAGGTGTCTGTAGAGGGTGTGAATAACTTGGTGAAGGCCGATTACTCATACTGGACTCTAGGTTACGCTCTTTCACAGCAGGGGGCCAAGAAACTCCTCGCTGCTCAGCCACTTGGCAAGATGCTCCCTGTAGACGAGTTCCTGCCAGTCATGTTCAACAAACACCCTAAGTAAGTGAGATGGATGGATGGATGCACAGATGGGTGGATGCTTATTCCTAAATGACAACGATTCGGCTGTCTATTGACGCTTTGAAAAGTACGATCACATCTGACCCATAGAGCAGTTGTCGTGTGTAGGTACAAAACAGCTTCACAAACAGTCTTTTCAACCACACAAGAATCACTATTTCTGTCACAGTAATTAAAATTGTTCACAGAAGTACTGAGATAAAAGTTTATAGTTCAGATAGTAACACTGATGTCTACATTAGCGATCAAAATAGAGTAAATCGCCTTTTGAAGGTATCATGACACTTCAAATAAAGATTATATCAATTACATTGATAATGTCTTGAATCATTCATTCAAGAGATTCATTTAAAAACGCTAATCCATCCAGTAACGAAACAAGTGAAGTCTTTATGAGTGAGTCACTGAATCATTCATTCAAACTGTTTTTAAAAATTAGTTAAAATGACGTTATTTTGTTTAGATGGTTCAGAATTTTGTGATTCTCAATTTATCCATAATCGTGCAGCGATAGATAGATAGATAGATAGATAGATAGATAGATAGATAGATAGATAGATAGATAGATAGATAGATAGATAGATAGATAGATAGATAGATAGATAGATTTCTTTCAGCGGTTACACACAGGCACACACTGAGGCTGTATTGCTGAGTGGCACAGACACAGTGGTAGATTGTTCAGAGTGAGAAAATAAGTATGGTGTCCCTGCTGGGTCACACAATGACTGCCTTTCTACCTCAATTCCTCTAGTGGGAGAACTGCTCAGCACTGGCTGTGCCCCCATATGTGTCGCCTTTACTGGCCCTTCTCTTTCTCTCCTTCAGCACCCTGCGGTCCTTCTCCCCTGTTGTCTAGCATTCTCTGGCTTCCCCTCTCTGTCTCCCTGCTCTTTCTTTGAGGAATTTTGGGAAGGGCCAGTTCTTCCTGTTGCCCCGCATTAGAGGGACAAAATTCCCATTGATAGCTGAGTTTGGGGGAAGGGCCATTGGTATAAGACAGATGGATTACTGTATAAATATACTTCACTTTCTGTGTGTGTGTGTGAGAGAGAGAGAGAGAGAGAGAGAGAGAGAGAGAGAGAGAGAGAGAGAGAGAGAGAGAGAGAGAGAGAGAGAGAGAGAGAGAGAGAGAGAGAGAGAGAGAGAGAGAGAGAGAGAGTGGGATAAAGACTCATTGTGTACCCCAAGTGTGTGAATCTACTCTTGTATATAAGCATGAAGTATAGTAAATAATCCAATGTTTTCATGTCCTATGGAGATTATCTAGCATAGCCATCAAAGAATCACGGAATCATTACTAAATATAAAATATATACATTATGTAAATATTATATACTCTACCGTTCAAAGGTTTGGGGTTCAATGGGTAAAGATTTTTTTAAAGAAATTAATACTTGCATTTCTTTTAAATTTTTGTTTCAAATATAATACAGTTTCCAAAAAAACAAAAACAAATTAAACAGCACAACTGTCGTCAATATTGATAATAATAAGAAATGTTCCTTGAGCATGAGATCAGCATATTAGAATGATTTATGAAGGATCATGTGACACTGACTGAAGTAATGATGCTGAAAATTCAGCTTTGCCATTACAGGAATTTTTTTTTTTTAATATAAATAGAAAACAGTTATTTTAAATTGTAATAATATTTCACAATATTACTGTTTTAATGTATTGTTTAAATAAATGCCACCTTGGTGAGCAGAAGAAACATCTTTAAAAAACCTTACCAACCCAAACTTTTGAACAGTAGGCTATATAAATCACATAAAAAACAATATAAATAATTTATCCACTAAAAATGTTTCTGTTTGTGACTTTCCCCATGCCCTTGCTTTTCTTCCCCCCTCATCTTTGTACTCACTCTCCCTCCCTCCCTCCCTCTCTCTCTCTCTCTCTCTCTCTCTCTCTCTCTCTCTCTCTCTCTCTCTCTCTCTCTCTCTCTCTCTCTCTCTCTCTCTCAGTGAGGCATACATGTCTCACTTTGATCCCAGGGATCTTCGTGCTTTCTCTGTTGAGCCATTGCTGTTGTACCCAACACACTATACGGGCGAGCCGGGTTACTTCAGCGACACTGAGACGTCCACTATTTGGGATGACGAGGCTGTCAACACAGACTGGGACAGACAGTATGCCCAAAAAACTGCCCAGCAGGCACAAATTCGCTCCGTCGCCCAGAACAGTGTCACCGGGGACACACCACCGCCTGCGTCCCGAGCCTCGCGAGACGAACTCTGAGTTCTCTGTGTTCTCGAACTACACAACTGAATGACAAAACACACTGACTCATTGACAGCTCACTCCTCAATTTCCAGCAGTCCCCTCCTCCTTGGCGACACATCAGCCAATAGCATGACAGCTGGCTGGGATGCTCGAACACCATTGGCTGGCTGGTTGATTTTGCTCATAGACACACAAGCTCTTTTTGTTTCCACTTTATTTATTTCATCATGCCTTCCAGAGACATTGAAGGACCAAACTGTCCCTGATGGACACTTCAAAGTGTTTGAAGGACGAGGACACTGCGGAAGGACTGGACAGAGAAACACAGACATATGATAGTTAGATTTGGTTTTGCAATCAATGAACAGGACAGATGAATCTTTATTTTAAAGTTTTCTTTTTATATTGTAATATAAAAACAGATACAGTTTATGCGCAGTGTTTAATAAAAGAATCGTATCGCTGTCCACATTTCTACTGTACATGATCAGGAAAGAAATAATATTTTAAGTTGATGTATTTTAATAGCATCACCATATCACTTTTAAATGTCATTCATGTGTCAAGTATATTTTAGAGCCAAAAATTAAGAGCATTGGTTACATACTTTTGTTTGGAAGTTGTTCAAATCTGCAGTTTTCACATGTTTTTAAGTTGTGCTGGATTTAAAACACTGTTTAAAACATGTTAAATTGCCATAGAAGGAGAACGTGGGACTCCACGTGACACATCATTGAAGACACACACTGGTCATTAAGTATGTGAATGAATGAATTTTAATGAATGAGAACAGCTGTACAAAATCTATTTCAACGTGTGTGTGTGAGACAAGTGGTGCTTTTGTTTTATTGTTAACATCCTATTTTCACTAAGTCCTTCCAGAATATTCCTGGAGGCTCAAAAAGATACATATTCCATGTATCTTAAAAGAGTGTATGAATCATGGGCATTATGTCATGTATAATAATTAGAAATAGCTCTCATTTTTCCAGACACACTTGTATTTTTCCACTCAGCAGGCTGGCTCCTGTTCTCTGACTGTCTATTTCATTACCTTCTTTGAAGATGTCTTGGTGCTGGTGGTGGGCTGATTCAATAAAACTGACCTATCAATAATATAATGCATCTAAGGATGTCCAGGAAAGCCTCATATTCATTTTGATATATCAGCAACCTTTTTGTGCTTGGTTAGTTAACTGTCATCTTGAATAACATGTACTTCCAACAGCCTCTGGCTGTTTCTCTGCTAAACTCTCATAGATGTGTTTGAAACCTCCATTCAGTGTAGAAGGGTTGAGTACTTGCTTGGGTTATTGTTAAAATGGGCTGCTCCTGCATTTGGCTACCAAAACATGGCACATTCTGAAAACATTGACCATAAACAAGCTTGCCATTTCAGAATGTGCCACCAATTTTATTTGTTCAGTGAGTAAATAAGAGATGTTTATTCAAAGCAGCTCACAATTTTACCGGTGCTAAAATGTCAAGTCTGTACCATCACGGCCATTACCGGTAGTTTAATTTAACTGATAAATTTAATTCACTGACATTATTAGACATTATTGTGACAGAATAAAGAGCGGGAAGGCCTTTTGTTTTTACAAATCAGTATGGGAATCATAGCATGACACAAATATGTAGTATAGCTACAGTAGACGTCTTGCTATATTATTTCGGTAATAGGTTACACTTACACTATATGGTGTGCATTTAAATATAAACGCTCAACGCAATCTGTTTCATGAGTGGCAAAATTTTGTTTGGTAGTTCCTTCGTGCTGTAATGTTAGGAGACCCTGCCATCTGCTGGAGCATAGTGGTATTGCAGTTTGTCTGTGAGGTTCATAGGCATGGTGGGTAGCCTAATGGTGACTCAAAACAAAACTTTCATATCGGTGTCATCCTTGCTGGAATGTGGAATGTTATCTGGCCTCTAGAGACATTTAAATCATCATTAAGATAGGATGATAATGCATTTTACACACAAACAAATAAAACATGCTGGTTCATGAACTTACACTGTGAATTACTCTAGTATACCAGAGGTGGACATTGGACAGTAACAATTTACTTGAGTACATTTACTTGAGTACTGTAGCCTACTTAAGTAAACCTTTTGAGTATCTGTACTTTACTTGAGTATTATTTTATCTGGAAACTTTTTACTTTAACTTCACTACATTTGAAAGACAAATATCATACTTTTTACTCAAGGTCCTTGAGTAGAAAGTAGTAACGTCAGTCAGGGGATGATTTTGGTTGCAGGGGTTGCATTTTGGTTGGAAATGCAAGTCGGGTTGACGTCAGAACCTCATAGGCATTCAGAGGTAAGGTAGCTGTATTACATACAACAATGCAACAATAATAAAACTACGCATTGGCATTTGCTTTTTACTTTTGATATAAGTACTTTTAAAAACGACTTCTGTAATTTTTACTTAAGTAAAAATCTGTCTTTACAACTTTTACTTGTAACAGAGTAATAGGTTTTGACCAGTAGTATCTGTATTTTTCACTCACGTAAGGAAGTTGTGTACTTTGTCCACCTCTGTTGTATACAGTTTTGTGTCTCTCTCTTTCTTGTTCTAACTGGCTGTTTAACTGGCATATCATGTGGATGTGTATATACTGAAAAGCAGTGTATTTAAGTGTGTTGTGTCTTAGGTGATGCGTTTCCTACATAACCCACACATAACCTACGTAACCAAATATATCCCTCACAAACAAGCCACTGTCACTGCATGTGACTAATGTTTTTTATATGAGAGGCATGAAGGAAGTACTTGATTTTTTGTGTGTTTGTTATCACTACTTGCCATCAAGACCAAGTGTTGAATAGAATTGTTTGAATCATAAAGTGCTATGCTGTTATTTAGAAGACATCAGACACTAGGCCTGAATACTATAGCTTTTTATCTATTTTTAACCTGTCTTAATTGAAAAAAAAAAAAAGTAAAATGTGCTTGCTTTTGCAGTGTGTGGATTTATTTATTGTGTTTATTGACTTTCTGGGGATTCAGAAAAATAATTTATTTCTAGGCATGAGTTTTTGTCTTACGGTTTTGATTATTTATTTGTGGTGTGTAAGTCTATTGATGTGATGAATAATTAACATAGGCTACCTACATGTTGTTGCTATAACCACCCTATGGATAGTTGTTCCCCAAAACCAATTAAAGTCACCATGAAATCAAAATTGTCAATTATTTTTTTAATAGAATATTGAGGTTCTTATTCCAAAAAAAAAAAAAAATTATTTGACTTTAAGACCACCCAAAATTCACATTCTGATTATATGAAAATTATGTCATCCTTGTGCATTAACAGAGAAATTTACAAAAAACACCAGTTATGTCCACTTTCACCCAGATGCTTTTTTTATTCAAATATAAAAAGAACAATAACAAAAACCTAATACAAAAACCTGACTTGACCTGTCTCACATGACTTGTCAAGTCATATTAAAACGCTCTCAAAACCAGTTTTAAAAAATGAAAACAACGCAAGTACAAAAAAATGCACAGAATGCTGAACACACACTGAACAAATTTAACTACACATATATTCTCATTAAAACACTGGACCAGAATAATATACAAATTACAAAAATACAAATTACTTCATAATTTACACAATCTGTGTTGTAAATACCACCACATCAATATATTTCTCTATCAACAAATGCTAATCAATGTGAAATTTGATTAAAAGCTGATCAAGACTTTAATCTTAGAATAATTCACAAATCAGTACTCCAAGACAACTAATGTAACAGAGCTTGAGTAGAGTCTTCATTTGTATTCTGTTGCTCTCTCTGACTCTCTACAACACTTTGGCCATCATTGTGGATCTCGTCATACCCCCTGCTTGACCTGAAGTGAGAAAACCTCCTCCTTCGTTTCATTAAGAGGACAATTCCTGCCACCACAACAGCGATCACAGTCATTACACCACAGGCTACACCAGCCTTTTCACCTCCTGACATCCGGGTAGACGACGAATCGAACATTGTGGCCATTTGATTGACTTCACCAGGCTTTGCTAGTCTCCATTGTTTGGTTTCTCCAACCCTTAGCCAAGCCCGATCACCTTCTGTCATCACAGCTACAGTGTTTGTCGCCATTATGTTGACCAGAGGTGGTTTTGTGAACGGTGGGAGGCGAATAGGTTTTAACTGGCCACCAGTAAACTCGTCTGATTGGACACAGTACAATACCTGACAGCCATCACTAATGGCAGCAAGATGTTGGCTGTACTGAGGTGGACAACGGTATTCGTCCCTTGCAAGAGGGTTGCCAGATTGGCAGCTAAAGAAACCCCCAAAAGGCACAGAAGATATTGTTCCTGCCTCATAGTCATTGCTCAAACAAATCATCATGCCATTAGTCAAAAATACTTGTGCAAAGTAATTAGGAGGACAGTCATGAGATTTGGTCAATGGGTTTTGTAAAGATTGTCCGAATAGACCTCCAAAGAGGTATCCAGAGTATGGAGGGACTGTCTGATTTGTGGAACACCAGTAAGTGTCAATTTTTGCACTACGGACGTAGTAAGCATTTCCACATACATTGTCACAACAATCCAAAATTAACCAGCATGAATGACATTTCTTATGGCACTCATATTTATTGTAACTCTGCTCTACTGTCTCTGAGTGTAACAAAAAGGAAGCATATGGTTGGCGGCAAGAATAGTCACCAGTATTCGGATTTTTTTGCGCAAGCTCATCACAGATGACATTTCCGTCAGCCGCAGATGGAGTGCATTTTTGGTAAACTCCACCAAAGGTCAAATTGGTGACTGGACCTTCACAGGATTTGTCATCTACATTGGCCTGAAAGTTAAAGTTTGGGGAATTTTGATCTACACATCCTGGAATGGTGTTTATATTGTAGTAGCGTTCTGCAGCCTTTTGGACTGACAAAGCCAGTTTTTGTAAAGTTGGGGCTGGAAGATCAGGAAATGCGGATGGATTGAGGAAATAGTGCAGTGGCATACCAGAACGGTCAATAGCCACAAGGTTGTTTTGCGTGCTCTCTTGCCACTTCTGCAGAGTGATGCCTTGGTAGAATAAAGCCCCACCGTGGCTCTGAACTATAGAATATGTAATGTTTTGCTGGTAACTGAGGCTTTGAGAGGTTTCCTGGGTTTCCTTGCTACCAAAGTTAAAGTTAACCTTGTTAAAAAAGTTCAAACCTGCTGAAGCAGAGACAGAAGTCTCGTCTGACTCACTGTTAGAGACATAAGACCTTTTTATATAGTCCTCTTGGACCAAAGTGGCACCGGCATCGATTCTTGTGATGACATGGGTACCATAATCAAGTATGAGTTTCTCTGACAGATAATTTACTTGACGCGTTTGATTGTTCTCAAAAGCATCTGCGATTTCCACTATCTGCTGAGCAAAGCGGGAGTCCAGAGTAAAGTCAGGATACACATTAACAGTGTAGAGATGGTTGCGTACCTGAGAAAATATAGAAAAGACAAAACAATTCAAATCTAAATTAAACCCTTTTCCTGGTCAATGTAGATTTTTTCTTTTTTACTAAAAAATAAAGAAATATATAGGAGCAACTGACTGGGGTAGCTATACATACTGTTTTCTCATTAATTTAGAGAAAATATCATCTTGAAATGAAAGCAGTCATTATCATTGTTAATTAAGTTTATAAAATAATTAAAGTAGATTTGATTAAATTGAAAGGCTGCCTGATAGGGTATTTTTAGAGTGAAAGCTCATTATGTGAGTATATTTTGTGTTCATATTAATATTAGTCAATACAAAACATATCCTTGAACAGACACATCCTCAGATTATGACGTGAACATAATGACCAGTCCAGATTTTCACTTTAACGTGAAATGAAACTGAAAGCGAGCGTAGCGCTTGCGAAGGTCAACGTCACTTACGCATATTGCGTAGGCTACGCTTCGTGATTGCGCTCCTTTTGACAAATAACAATTTTTCGTTCCGTGTTCATTTTATATCTCCCTTATGCATGTTAATAATTGATGCATAATAAAACAATCAAAGTGAACAATTAAGACTGTTACGCTGTAACTATTTTTGGCTATTTAAAAACTTTTCTGACTTACCTGAACTCGTGTTGTTACGGAATTGCCTCTCACTTGGTGTGTTTTCATGCGCGTATTTTCTAAAGGTAATTTACCGGAGTAAAGATAGTTTGCGGTTTGATTTTCAGTTTTCGTTTCGCTGTGGTCCCGCAGTGCGGTGTCGTGGACATGCAAATAATATCTCATGTCGTTATTCATGATTTGTGAATTTGTGTAACGGTGTTTCTCCGGGTCAAAAACCTTTTTTTTTTTTTTATTTTTTTTTTTTTATTGGGTATAGCTCCAAAAGTCGGTCACTTAGGAGTCTGAACCCAGTGTCACCTTGACATGCTCGATTTGTGAATTTTTTCACAGCAAAGCTCTTATCTGTAAAACGTTCGCTAAGTCCGGTAGACAGGAATGTTGAAAATAGCCGTTGTTCATGTTTAAACAATGGATATTAACAATTTATAATAAACACACACACTGCTGGATTACAAAAACATTTGTTTTAGATTGAACCTGATTTGTGAAAACTTTCACAGATCAGTTTGGGTCAGTTAACCCTTCCCTGAGTGGTTAACTTGGTCATTCTGATTTGTGAAACCTTTCAGAGGTCAGTTTGGGTCAGTTAACCCCTCCCTGAGTGGTTAACTAGGTCATTCTGATTTGTGAAAACTTTCACAGATCAGTTTGGGTCAGTTAACCCTTCCCTGAGTGGTTAACTAGGTCATTCTGATTTGTGAAAACTTTCACAGATCAGTCTGGGTCAGTTAACCCCTCCCTGAGTGGTTAACTAGGTCATTCTGATTTGTGAAAACTTTCACAGATCAGTTTGGGTCAGTTAACCCTTCCCTGAGTGGTTAACTAGGTCATTCTGATTTGTGAAACCTTTCAGAGGTCAGTTTGGGTCAGTTAACCCCTCCCTGAGTGGTTAACTAGGTCATTCTGATTTGTGAAAACTTTCACAGATCAGTTTGGGTCAGTTAACCCTTCCCTGAGTGGTTAACTAGGTCATTCTGATTTGTGAAAACTTTCACAGATCAGTCTGGGTCAGTTAACCCCTCCCTGAGTGGTTAACTAGGTCATTCTGATTTGTGAAAACTTTCACAGATAGGTTTGGGTCAGTTAACCCTTCCCTGAGTGGTTAACTAGGTCATTCTGATTTGTGAAACCTTTCACAGATCAGTTTGGGTCAGTTAACCCTTCCCTGAGTGGTTAACTAGGTCATTCTGATTTGTGAAAACTTTCACAGATAGGTTTGAGTCAGTTAACCCTTTTTAAAGGTTTTAGGTTTTAGTCAGTTAAAACTTAAATTATTTTACAGAAAAATATATTTACCGTAAACTTTTTCTGTATTTTTACAGTCCAACTGCTGTAGAAAGAAAAAAAAAGATAAAAAAAAGTCTGTTGAATGTTAAACGAATGTATAAATCTGTATAAAAACGTACAAATATTGCAGAAATACCTTAAAATTACATAATTAAAACAAAGACTTCTGTTTTAATACAGTATTATTTGGTATATTTTTAGGATAATCCAATCCATCTACAAGAACTCCTTGTCAAAGTAAAGACTTTTCTATGTAAAACACACAGAAAATGTTGTATAATTACCTTCAGATACCCTAATTTAAAGCCTAATACCAGTATATTGATCGATTTAAACTTTTATTTCATGTCATTATTCAATCCATTTACAGTAAATTCCTGTTAAATATTGGTTTTATCCTGTACAAAAAAACAAGATCTTGTGATATTAAGTTTCAGAAACATATTTTTAACAGTTATTGCTTTATTAAAACATTATTTGACAGTAATTACAGACACATCTCCAATAAATTTACAAGCTTTTACCATTAATGTATGCAGGTTTACTTTATATAAAGATTATTTGACAGTAATAACAAGCAACTCTCCAATATTTCTACATGTTTACCATTTAAATAAGGGGGTTCACTTTATATAAACATTATTTGACAATAATTACAGGCAACTCTCCAATATTTCTACATATTTGTACCTTTAATGTATGGGGCTTTACCTTCTATATACTTTTAACATCAATGTATGAGGTATACTTTATATAAACATTGCTTTAGCCTATACTAATTAAAATCAACTTTCCAATATATCAACATGACATTTACTCAATGTATGGGTTAACTTTATATACACATTAATAGACAGTAATTACAAGCATTTCTCCAATATATGTAAAAATACACATGTTTATTTTATGTAAACAATATTTGATAGCAATTACAAGCAACTGTCCAATATATGTACATACTTTTTCCATTACGGCATGGGGTTCACTTTAAAATGCACATAGGCTAAAATGCACATAAAATACGGTCAAGTCCTTCAGTCAAAAAGTTATTTGTTCTTAGTTCAGAAGCTAAGTTCTTTCCAGTAACAAACAAAGTTAATATATAATCAGTATTAATATACAGATGTGAATGTGCATGCTAAAAAATCGCCAGAGCAGAGCCATTAGGTTGCCCCTTAACAATAATTGCAGTTTGGAGCTTGAATGAAAATTGAACTGTATGCGTTGCGACGTTCGTCTGTTATAGGACAACTTAGTTTGAATAAACGAGCAGACACTGATTAGCTACTTGCTCTACGTTTATTTAAAATTAACAGCAAGACGACTAGAAGTGAATGTGCTTTCCATTAAATGAATCACACACAGTAAACAAATCCTTAAGAAAAAAAAAAACTTTGTGTGATTTATTTAAAACAAAGCACGTTCATTGCACAGTAAACAAAACCTTAAGAAAAAAAAACTTTGCAATGAAGTCGTTCATCCTCGGATGCGGCGCCGTGCGCACTGTTACAAAAAACCCTGTGCACACAGCCAAGCAAAATGGGGTCTTGCGCACCCAACGCGTCATTTTTGCAAGGTGCGCGCGGACCATAGACAGTAAAAGAAACGGACGCGTCGAGTATAAACAAGGCTTTACTCCGTGTCAGCGCGCGCTCTGATCGGTAAAGGTGCACAGACCTCTCCCGAATCATCTCCAGCACTCAGCCTCCGAAGCACCACTAACTCTCCACCTCTGTTTCCCTCGTAAGCTGAAAATAGTATTTAAACATTCTCTATGATAAAAAATGTTTGTAAAAAATATTTGAATAACGGTTTTGGCGGTTATAGAGTTCTAATGACGGTGTTCAACTATAACCGTCGGTCTCATGGTTATATAATAACCTTCACACCCCTACTGTTACGTGTTTGCAAGAGGCAACAGTAACTTGTAAGATGTAACATTAAGTTAACAGCTAACGTTATGTTAGTCAACCAAAGGTATTTAACGTTAATGTTATGATGGCTGATGCATGTTTCACATTCAGGGCTAACGTTAATAACGGTTTAACTTTATTAGGACCAGCATAATGTTACATTTGCTAAAGCTAGACAGACTTTTATAAGGTTAATACATAATGTAACAAACGGCGAGTTTTAACGTTAGCTCTGCTGACTCGACATAATGTTAACTTGCATATTAAAATTGTAAAATGTATAAAAGCTGCCGCACTTAACAAGCACATTTGACATTGTGAGGAAACATATATATATATATATATATATATATATATATATGAAATTTATTTCAATTGTAAAAATGTTATCTTTGAGTAATGTCATCTTTGAGACTGTTAGTTGTTACATGATTAAAAAGGTAAACATACACATAAAGCATGGCAATCCCGTCAGAAATGTGTATCATAGAAAGGGAAGCACACACACAAAAAATGCCAGTTGGTACACCAAAATCAAATAACCCTAACCCCATCAAATAATTTTACCTGCATCTGAGGGTCTTTCCCTTAATGTTTCCAGTGATTAAAGAAAGGACTGATGAAGGTGACATGAATCTCCCCTTTCAGTGCGCCACTTCAGCAGAAGAAAGACAAAAGGACAGAAAGTTACTCAGACTTTCCATCAGTAACAGTATGAAAATCACACTTAATACGATCCCAGTGTAGGTTTTCGAACAGTACGTGGGTAAAATTGACTTACTGTAACGTTAGTTGGTGAATGGGTCTTTCTGTTGGGTGTTCTCCCCCGATAAACATCTTATTCCAATGCTTGATCTAAAAAATAAAGTAAACAAATATCTTTTCAATATGTTATCAGTGTTTGAAGAGGTTATGTAAACATACTTCTAACGAATAAATGACGGTTTTATCACTTTACTCATTCCCACGCTTTTTTACCTCTCATGTTAACTTACCAACAACAAAACACAGCAATGTTAGATGGTACTAATGCCGCGTTCCAGGCAACCTGTAACCTGTGTTTTTCCAACTCGTAACTGGGAGTACATCGTTCCAGGCAACCTGTAACCCGTGTTTTTCCAACCTTATACCCGTGAAAGTGCACTGGAACGGCAGTCAAACCCGTGACTTCCCATCCGTGAACTCGTAGTGCTACTAGATCGATGTAACGTTAAGTTACTCCCAGTTATGAGTTGGAAAAACACGGGTTACGGGTTGCCTGGAACGCGGCATAACACATTGAAATACGTGCTAATATCGCTACGTTAATAGTGAAGTGGTTGCAGTAACGTTAAGCCTATGACAGTTAAATTACCCGTGTCCCTAAACGTTAGACTGTTAAGGACTGAAAAATGTTTTCTTACCTGATATCGCCAACGACCCCTTCCTCTGTTCATATTCCAGCTTTTGTTCTTCATTGACATAGCAACTAAAATTCGCTCAGAATTTAAGAATTCAACAGGCAGATATAAAATAATCCAGGTCTGACCGAGTAATCAACGCAAACAGCAGCTGCTGCTCACACCAACCGAGAGTAACGGACGTATTTTCAAACTTAAAATAGGCGCGCAGAGCCGCGCACATTCTCATTGGACAGTTTCCTGGAAGACAGACAGATTAACCAATCATGCTCAAAGTAAAACGGAGAAACAACCAATAACAATAGCAATAGTTTGCGCGAGTTGCAGTCTGTATTATTATTTAATTAATTGGTCAAATGACATGACAGTGTATGAATATGTAATAATGCAATGTAAACTGTTAGGCAAGCAGACAAAATTGGCAAGCATACAAAATTGTAAATTCACACAAAATCACATAAAGCAAAAGGTTTCTGCTGCACTGCTCTGTTGAGGGTGAAACTATTATTGTTAATAATGATAATACTTATATTTTAACATATACATTGAAGAACTGTTATGAAAATCAGAAAAATCA